CTAAGTCTTACAAATAGATTATATTACTGTACTCTCCGATTGTCACAATACTCTCACTCTTTATAAATTATAAAATCAATGTTTATTTTTCATTTATTTGTGTTATATTTAAAAGATTAATTGTTAAATTAATAGAAATTTTAAACTCATTTATTACTAATTATTAGTAAACTCGTAATATTGAAACACAAAATATTTTATCTGTACTAATATTAGTTTTTTATTTAATAGTCATCTATAATGTACTTATATATCAAACCGACTTTCAGTCGTCATTCAAATCCCTTTGCTCTACAATATTAGTAAATCATTATTTTGTTTGATATATTATCCGACCTTAAAAATCATTGTCTTTTTTATAAGTAATGAATTTCTACAAAATATATTAATCAATCAAATAAATATTTTTTCTTTATTTTAATTTAATGTTGAATTATTTGTATAGCCATTTTAAAATTTATTATTATATGTTATAATATAATAAACATAATAATTATGTCTTCATTAATATTATTAATAGTAAATTTGAATGATTTATTTTATCTAATAATTATAATTAGTTTTAATTGAAATTTATTGTATTTATCCTACGATTCAAATGACGAGCTTATTAGCGATAAGATCAACGATTAAATGTTTAAAAAGAGTCCAAACAAGAGATGATTATTAGGAAACTAATGCCAAAACCATATGAAAAGCTTAAGTTGTAGTGTAGTCTACAATCTATGTGTTTGTCTCATATTTTTAAGGATCAATTATTTGCTTCATATTATTATCGTATTATAGTATAGTATATAACGAGAGTCAGAGACAAAGCAAACGATTTCAAAATAAGTCAAAAGTCACGAACACTATACACATCAATAGTGACCAAAATTGTGAGATTTACCTCTAAATGTATTATTATATAATATTTACATCAACTATATATCCACGTCTATAATGTATTTACAGATTTAATTGTTATTCAAGTTATAGATTAATATATAAAATGTTCTGCAATATATATATATATATATATATACTGTATATAATTAATTTGTATGTTTAACTTACTTTAACATGATTTGATAGAAACAATTATCTGGTGTTGATTTGTTGACACTAGTGTTTCGGTACTCACTTACTACCACTTCATCAGCACTGTTGCACTGGTAGTCAAAGACTTTGATAAATTAATTATAATTTGTGAAATTAACTTTAAAAATCTTAATAAAATTATTATATATAAGTTTTATTATCTACAACTACTGTATATTTAATGTATATAATACTGTATTGTTATAATTATATACTGTATTATAAAAATTTATATATACCTGTAGTACTGTTTGGTCACTATATAAAAGCCTTTTTTCCGTTGCTTTGCTTTCGACTAAATATTATATATGATATAAATAGTGTATTTCAGACAACAAATGATTGAAAGACTATTACATGCAATCAAATCCATCATTAATATGCATACACACTGTATATACAGTATGTGTTGTAATGCAAAATATTTGTAAAGTGTATATCAATCATTCAATTGGTTACTTATTGAATTGAATCATCAATTAATTAAAATTGATAATTAATTTTTTATAACTAAAATTCTTAACAATAATAAATTAATTGGAAATTTTTATTTAAATGAACTACTAGTACATACAGTAAACTCAATCTCCAAATATTTGTGTTTTATTGATAATTATTTTAAATAATTAATGCGATTTATAAACTAATTTATAATACTTGTATTTATATAAATACAGTATTAATAAAACTTGTTATATTTTAATTTTTAAAATTTCATATTTAAGTTTATTTTTCTATACAAATTTACTTATTGACATAGAAATTATAGTAACTAAATTATTGTCAACTAAAAGTTATTAGTATGAAATAAATAATAAATTAAATAAAATAAAATAAAAACATGAAATACATTTGTCAGACAAAGTTTTATCATTGACTGTTAAACTCCATCTATTGATTGTTACATTACATAACACTAGATTTCCGGTGAAAAAACTATTATTGATTGCTTTCAAATAAAATATTTGCAAACTTTTAGGAGTATTACAGATCAATGAACTGAAGCGATGGTGAATGTGTGGCACCCAATACCACACATAAGCACTGTTAGGCTTGAGTTAAGACCAACGGTTGATGGCATAGACGATAGAGTCCGTGCAGATGACCGGCCACTTATCACTGTCAACCAGTTTTTGGCACTAAATCTAAGCAAATAGTGAAGGAAGTGTCAAATTTCATACTGTGTTTTGATTTTTTTGCTTCAAAAGCGACTGAATCTGAGTCCTAACAATATAACAAACTAATAGCCAAACAGCAATCCTAACAATATTAGTGTTTATGACTCGTTGATTGTTTGCAGACTCACTGTATTTCAGAATATTTGGTTACTTTTGAAATATATTTTATAAATACTTTAACCAATGATTAGTTAGATTTAAGTTTTACTTAGAAAACAAATGATAAGATATGTTGGATGCGATGCTCTATCACATGATTATACTGTAAATCAATGTGTACTTTAAGTGCCTTATCTTATACTACACTCAATAAACATTGAATACTAAATATTCTGTGTTTTCATAACCACACAAGTTATGAGTTTTTGTATCAATAAATGATTGGAAAGCAATGAAAAAGATTAATAGTATTGACTGACATTTACTGCTATAATGAGATCTTACATTCATTTATACGGATAATAGCTTTTCACCTAAAATTTAGACAAACGCCTCGTTATAACTCTAGAGATAAGTGCTTTTCAATCAAACTATTTCTTGAGATTAAGAGAAATGCCGCAAAAATGGGAGACAAATGAAGGGAAGGGTATGGATGTGATGTTAGGAAACATATTTTGTTGGCTAACATACAACTAATATACCAATTCTATACTTCATTGCAAAAATTCCAGTGAAAAACTTTAAGCAATTAAAAGTCAATGATTTATTGTTTGTCGGCACTAATACTTATTCGGAGAATATATTGTAAATTTTGAAAGACTGGGAGGACAGGCATCCTATCTGTACCTCACCCTCACACTCATTAACATACAGTTACCCTAACTGTTGTTTTGGTTTTTTAAAAATGAGTTAAAATATTGCAAACTTAAAAATTTTAAATAATTCAAAACTTTCATAACTATAAATATAATTTTTATTAAATATTCTAAATTATAAATTTTAATAAATACTGTTTTACTTAATATTTTTTTCTATAATATAGTAATGTTTAGCATTCATTTATTTTTTTCGTAACTTTCAAATAATGATTTCATTATTGATATTTAAAAGAAGTGTTAAAATTGTAACTTAAAGAGTGTGTAATCATTTGTGATGATAATCAATATGTTATGTATTGTCGATATAATATGTGTTAACATAATGTACTTTTGAGTATAATATATGCAATACTAAACTCATAAACAACCAGATATTTGTAAGCAATGATCAATGATATACAATACGCCAAAACTCCATCTGCTCTTTGGTTGACTCAAATCAAATACAACTCAATATAAGTACTCCAAGAGTACAGTACTGTTGAATCCCTGTTTCCAAATGTTGTCTTTGTATTACTCATATATATGTTACTATGAGTTGTTTTGTTCTCAATTCTCTCTCTCTCTCTCTCTCTCTCTCTCTCTCTCACTCACTCACTCACTCACTCACTATCTGACTGTCTGTATATTGAAAGTGTGCGCAAAACGTGTGTTTAATGTTAACTAATAGGGATGCAGAGTCTGCAGACTCTGGTGATGGCATTACTAAGTGTAGGAAAACTGCCAAAAATAAAGGCTATTCTCTCAGTTCATACAATTTTGAGTCAAATGGCGTTAAATACTTTGAGTCTGTTTTTGTTTATTTATATTACATTATCATTGGTTGAGTTGATAATTACTGTCAATTCTGTTAATGAGACCGACATTACAATTGTTGTTGAAGACAGTGATGAGGTTTTATCCATTGATGACGAGTGGAGATCAGTAAATCACGCGAAGAACATAAGGTTTGCTTAAATGTCTGCTTATTATATATGACAACAACTTGTCTTCATTTGACTGCAGTTTTTCTCAATCAAAACATTTATTGCTAATTATCTTAATGTATGCCTAATATGAACACACCTTTAGCTAAATGAGTCTTTCAATCATCTGAACTGTTATTAGTGAATCACTAATAGTTATGGCAATTACTATTACATTTGAAACATTCAAATACATGTTATTTTTTCTGTTCAATAGTTTGTTTCTATAAAACTAAATGTGTTTTTTCACTCAATTAATAGTAATAATGTCTAATTCAATGACAAAGTAATTCAATTGTTAGACCAAATGCAACACTTACTGTGCAATTGTTTGGATATTATGCAACTGTTTAATAGATATTACTCTTAAATAATAGTCATTGAATTTGCTATTCAATGAATCATTGAATTATTAGTTTGAGACCATTTGCATAGTGAAGACCACGCGAATCATAGATAATAACTGCCATTACATGAAAATCAAATATTATATAATATATTATATAAGGAATAAAATGCAAATGTTGTCACTTTTGTTGATATTAAATAAATGTATTAATGTTTAATACTTGGTTTATCTTTAAAGATTAGTGTATTATACTGTATACAGTATAAGTTAGTACTAAACATAATATAATGTACTGTAATTGTATCGTTTTATACATTGTTTAATATTATAAATATTGAATATATCATTGATTTTATTTAAATTTATTAATATATAATGTAAATATAATTTGCATAATTTTCATACATTATTTCTACAAAAATCACAAATGGTTTACAATGTTTAATAAAATATTAATATATTTTGAGAATTTAATCTTAATATTTATAAATACAATTAAAGAAAAAGATTTAGTTTTATTTTATCAAAATATTATGAAAATAGTGAAACTATATTAATGATAAACTAATTGAATGAAAATTAATTAATTTTAAATGATTGTGTTATACAGTCTTCCGAGTGTCAGTGATGACAATCCACCCGAAAGTGGCGAAGGATTCTGTCAGGTATACCGTGGAGTTACCTGTTCTCAGTTCATCCAAAACCGGACGATATATGTGCGGTCAATGACTAGTCAGGGCTTTATGGAGGATAAGTTGGCCAAAGCTTTCACTGTTATCGCCACTTCACACGACGTTTCACTTCAATGTCATAGATATGCCATTTCATCCCTTTGTTTCTTTGCCTTTCCTCTCTGTGAAGACAATATGGCTGAACCTACACCCCGACAGGTAATCATATTATATTATTTATACACGATTTGCTAAATTAAAATATTATCATTTATCCGATTAAATGTTTTGATTATATTAATATTATGCTAAAAACCAGTTTTATTTAATGAATAATTAAATTTATTATAATATAAAATTATTTAATTAAAAACATAAATATTAAAATAATTTATTTCTAATCACCAAAGGATTGTTACGTAAGATTAACATAAATATTAAATGTATAATACGTTATCATCTAATACTATGATATAAATGCGATAATACTATGATATAAATGCTATAATACTATTTAATATGAAACAATAATATTGAACTAAACTAACTATTAATATAAATAATACTACGGTTTCAGTTGTGACATAATATTTATAATATTTACAAAAAGATAATATCATATAATTTATTTAATATAATTTTATATTAATACTTTATTTATTAATATATGATATAAATAAAATAATCAATTAATTTTAAAGAAACAAATAGCTTAGAATGTTAATAGGAATTAATATATTGTTGTAAATATAAATAATTAAATTCATTATCTGTAATAATCATGTTTTTATTTTTTATTTTTTCATTTAATTATTTATTATTTATTTTTTTTAATTACAATAAATAGATTAACTTACATTAATATAAAATATTTATTTAATATAATTTTATAATAATATATTTATAGTTTATATAAAATTTCTATAATATCTATAAAAAAAACTTGAATTAATTTATAACAATGAGAGACAAAAAACAATTAAATGACATTTGTTTAGAAACATAAATTGGAAATAATTGTTTTCAAAGTGGGTGTACAGTATATGTCAATTGTGTTTAGTTTATACACTTTGTTCATAAAAGACAAACAACAAAAATATATTGTTTATCATTTATTATAATAAATTTAAATGCAACAGAGAAACTATACAAAAAGCATAATATTAATTTTCAAAATAAATAAAACTATTTAGAAATATGAAGCCATAGTAACTTTGCAATACTGTATAGATTTTTGAAGCCCTAATACTTGTAATACTAATACTAATACTAATACTAATACAGTGTACAGTATATCAATATTAATACAAATCAACATTAATATACAATATATTACTTGTATACAGAATTCACAAAAACAGAATAGTTTATTATTAATTATAATATAGCTATCATTTAAAACATTTAAATTAAATTTTTGTTAACATTTTTTCTTAAAAACTTTTACTAATAATAGAAGATTTTTTTAAAGAATTTAAGTTAATTACATAAAAATTAACTAAAATTTAAGAATTGTAAACATTTATAAATTATATGTTTTATGTTGTTTTATACTATTAATATACTCTATAGTAAATAGTATGTAATAACAGTCTAATGAGTTTTTGAAATGAATCAAATGAATAATTTGTATTTATATTAACTGCTTTATTGTGTATTTATTATATAATTTAAATGTTTTTCTTTATTTGTTTAACATAAAAGATAATTTACATTTATTTATTTAATGAAATGCTTATAATTTCTATGAATATTTATAAAGTAATTACTGATAAAATTAGTCAATAAATATATATTGGTTTAGTTAAGATTTTATTTTAGATTTTTCAAAGTTTAAAGTCTCATATTATATAAATTGTTTTATTTAACTTCAGGTTTGTCGGGACGAGTGTGAAGTACTTGAAAATAACATTTGTAGGATTGAGTACACTATCGCTAAAAAGCATCCATTGATAGGCCAGAAGCAGATACTGCCGGCTTGTGAAGAATTACCACCAATTGGTTCCAAAGAAAGTGAAAACTGTGTCCGATTGGGAATACCTAATACTGTTCAGGTGTCACCCGGTATGACAAAAAACATTAATAATTTGTTGCAAAATTGCTTAAACAATGTTACTATTATTATAGAGCATACATGTTATACAAATATTGGTGAGGGTTATAGGGGAACGTCATCGCGTACCGTATCGGGTCAGGAATGTTCATATTGGAGTCACCAGATATTTTTACGGACTGCCGACTATCCAGAGCTAACGGGTGGTCATAACTATTGTCGTAATCCGGGAAACATGGAGTCGAAGCCGTGGTGTTTCATCAATGATCCCGAAGTTAGAAAAGAGTATTGCGATATTCCTCAGTGTTGTGAGTATTGATTACTATATTTTATAGATATATCTATTGTTCTCTATTGTAATATAATAATTATATTTTCCATTTATAACACATTTTATCATTTTATAACTGATTATTATTATCGTTTGTAATGGAATTTTGTTGTCAAATAAGTTCCCAAAACTCTGTCTTTAAGTATAACATAATATAGATGTATATATAATGTGTCTACAAATGGATAATATATTATTTTTAGTATAAAAGCAATAATTTATATTCATATATGTTTTTGGTGTCAATTTAGTCGATCAATACTTCATTTGGTATTACATCGCACCGACAGTCGGAGCGTTGGCTTTATTTTTACTTTTATTATGCATTTGTTGTATTCGTCGCCGTAATCGCAATAAGCCTTCATCACCGGTAGTATCACTTAATGGCACCAAAACTGGTCGAACTCTGGCCAGTCCTGGGTTTAGTACTAACAGTGCCCGTCGTAATCGGGGAAACAATACTCTTGAGATGAATGCTTTATTGCCACAAACCAGACAAACGACAAATCGGGTCACAGAATACTCGATGTCATCCATTCGTTTTGTACAAGAGTTGGGTGAGGGAGCCTTTGGTAAAGTTTATAGAGGAGAACTGGTTATGACTGCCGGTGCCATTGTGCCCATTGCCATCAAAACACTCAAAGAAAATGCTACACCAAAAACACAACTCGACTTCAAACGAGAGGCTGAAGTTATGGCAGACTTACACCACCCGAACATTGTTTGCCTATTAGGTGTCAGTCTGAGAGAGGATCCCATGTCTATGTTGTTTGAATACATGTCCAAAGGAGACCTTCACGAGTATCTCATCTGTCACTCTCCGAGATCTGACATAACAAACCGTAAAGATGACAATCACCAACTTTTAGAGATTCAAGATTTTCTTCATATCGCTACACAAATTGCTGCCGGAATGGAGTACTTGGCCGGACATCACTTCGTTCATCGAGATTTGGCCGCAAGAAATTGTTTAGTCGGTGAACACATGACTGTCAAGATATCAGACTTTGGTCTCTCTCGTGATATCTATTCCAGTGATTATTATAGAGTCCAGTCTAAGTCACTTTTGCCTGTCAGGTATGTACTGATTGACAAACATATAAGACAATACTGTAATGTTTTAATAAATGAATTAATTATTAGATGGATGCCTCCCGAGAGCTGTTTATACGGAAAATTCACGACTGAGAGTGACGTTTGGTCTTTTGGTGTCGTCCTTTGGGAGATATTTAGTTACGGATTACAACCTTATTATGGCTTTACAAACACTGATGTCATTGATATGATACGATCGCGACAACTACTTGCCTGTCCTGAAGACTGTCCGCCGCATATCTATTCATTAATGATTGAATGCTGGCATGAGATCCCTAACAAGAGACCATCATTTCATGAACTACACACCCGATTGCGATCGTGGCAGGCCGTCCACAGCAGGACTATGACTCTACACTCAACTAATAGCAGTCATAACAGTGGCCATAGTGTCCATTCGGGTCCTCAACATCTGAATAATTACATAACTAATCGCACAAATAATACAACGCAAGCAAACAATCACTTCCACTCATACCATCCCCTGTCAACACCAGTTCCTATACCGACACCACCATTGAGTCATCAGTCTCATTCAACTAATCACTCCCAACACCAGCAGATCCATCATTTCAATAGTCCCAATCCAAACCTGAGAAATGGTTTCCCAAATATAGGTCAACCACTTCCTAATAATAATACTCACGTGAATTCAATGTTTCACTTTCACGAAACCAACAATTTTCACAATTCTTCGAGTTCTTCGAGTCGACCCAACACTCCTAACACCAGAAAAGTATCGATTGGTGCAAATGCTAACCAATTATTACATTCCTAATTGTTTTCATATTTCAAAGATTATATAAATTAATAATTTAATAATAAAAAAATAATTATTAATATATATGTTGAGAATCTCTACAGTTATTATGAACCACTTATGAAGCGAAACACTTTTTAACAAATTGTAAGATATTATTATATAAACTAATTAACTTAACAAATGCCATAATATACAACATAATTAATTTGTAACATTTGTTGCAATTGATGTTATATACAATTATTGTATAGTATTTAAAAATGTAGTCATTTATAGATTTATATTCAACTTAAACTAAAAAATATGTGAAAATAAAAAATTCTCTGACTATAGAGGATCGGGTGCACAAGTTTTATACTTTTATAGATAACTACTAATAATATAACATAAATTATTACAAATTTTATATAACAATATTTATTATTGAAAATCTTTTTTTATTAGTTGTTTATTGTGCTTTTTTGCAATTTTTTTATTTATATAATTATTTGATATAAAGTTTAATTGTCATGAATGTTTTTGTCGATTTATATACATTTTGTAAATACAAATTATAAAAACTTATATACACATAATTAAATTTTATTTAGATTATAATTTAATCTAATTTTTTACTATAAATTTACCGAAATTTTTTGTAACTTTTATATTTATTGTCATTTAACATAAACTAATTGTAAATATTAAATTTATATGTATATCACTAGTCATTATTATGTAAATGAGGTCAAATTTTTAACAAGCTAAAATATATTGTATACATTTTGCAAAATATTTATAAGCGTATTTAAAAAATAACAATTTTGTGTTTTCTTTATGAAATTAACTAATATATTGATTTTAGTTTTGTTTTTATTATTTTTAACAGAAAATAAATATTAATTTTAACAATATTATTAATATCTTTGATTTATTTATTAATATGTAAATTACAAAATATTATTATGAATTTACATTTGTATTTAATTTAGTCAATTGACAATAATTGCAATTACTGTTCCGGTAATATATATTTCGTCTATTATTATTAGGAAGTCTTGAGTAAGTATTGCATAACACTATATGATATAAATTATTACAAATTATAAAACAATTTATTATCGTAAATAGTTTATTATTCATTATTTAAATAATTATTGTATATTTACATACATATACGTACTGTATATTAGATATCACTTTCATAATATTTACGGTAATAAAAATAAGTCAACTTTTATAAAATAATTTGCTTTGAAAATATACATATAAAATTTTTATAATTAAAATATTTACATATAAATTAATTAAATAATAATAATAATATAATTTATTATAAAATTGATGCAATTGATAGTTACATCAAAATGAGATTTCAGATAATATTGGGGACTTAACATCCATTGTTTAATGACTTTTGGGGAATAGGATGCGGTGGTGATAATAGGTCTGAATATTGATGTAATACTTCCCGAAGCGATCGATTAACTTGTACTGAGTTAGATGTCGTACAGTCAACTATGTGAGGGTATAATCGAATCAATAGATCCCAAACATGTGGTTCCACACTATCTACCGGTGCTTTCTTTAATGACACGATTAAAGTGGCCAATGCTTTCAAAACAAATGATATTTCCGCCATTCGATGACTAAATATAAAATAATCAAATACTTGAACAGTTATAACGATTGATAATAATAATAGCATACCGGGGTAGAGGACAGGGACAAAGTCGTTCATCCTCTACATATTTAATAACCACATCATTAAATCGTTGAAGTATTGAAGTGACGGCTAGTTTATTGACAATTCCTATGTTGTGATCCGGAGTTAATTCATTTGCTGACGTCTTCATGAAAAGTCCCGGATTGTCCTTCTGAGCCAAAAATGAAAACTGCAGTAATGTCTCAAAACAAGTCCTCGCAAACTCTTCGCGTAATTTTCGTGACGATTCTGTATCTTTCGAATAATTATATCAAATAAAAAATATTGAAATTATTTCAATAAAAATCATTATAAAAATTAAAATACTGACCAACGGGTGAACTATTGGTTGCCGAGTGAATCGACCCTTTATTGAGAAGTGAAACAATTTGTAAAACAAACTCTTTTGGTATTTGAGAGGCAAATGGCATAATTGTGTCACGAATTAATTCAACTATTTTAACGTCAAGTGATTCATCAAACTGTTGCTCTTCCAGAGTCTGAGTTGATGGCGGTCTCGATACTGGAAATAGGAAGCCATCAAAACAAAGGGCTAAATCAGCCCAAATACCAATAAAATCTGATACTATATGTTTAGAAATTAAAATCATTATTACCGCTAATTTACTACAGACTCATATATAGTACCATTAGCCCGAGCAACTGGTAATCCTATTTGTAATACAGTTAATAATGTATTTACAGACAATTTCCAAGTTGTTGGCGAATGACAAGAATATTTCAGACACAATGATATCTTTAACGTCTGTTTAAAATAATTTTAAAAATTATAAAATAATCTAATAATTAATATATATATATATATAAAACCTTTATAATTGAATGAAGAATATGGGACTTAATAACAATTTCTTCGTTAGCAGTCTTCTGGTAAAGAGATAATGCATTTTTCAGAGCTCTTTCTCCAAATGCTGTATAAGTATTTGAATTAAGAGTTGACAGTTCACTCTAATTATAAATAAATAAATAAAATTTTAATTCATTTTTCAAACAATAAATTGTTATTTTGTTACAGTTATTAATTGCGGAGAAATTTGTGTTTTGACAAACACCGGCAGTTGAGGCGGAGCTATAAAAATAATGAAATTTTTGTTTTAAAAAATTGAAATTTATATAATTTCATGAAAATAAGATTACTTATGTTAACTGCATAACATGAAAGGGCTAAATATTGATTAAAAATGGACGGCAAAAGTGAATTGAGATCAGAGTCGACTAATATCTCTTTTTGAAGAGTTTCCAAAACGAATAAAATATTCTCTTGTAATGGAGTTAACGATTCTGACATCGAAAGTGATAACATATACGGCAAACTCGCGTCGGTGTTCACCAATGGCACCGATAATGAGTTTTGTAAAACATGAGACAATTTGTGAAAATCACTGAAAAATTGATATTTCATTTATTTTTTGTGCAAAATATCAATATATATATATATACTCTATTTAGATGGTGACAAAATCAAGTTGATATGTTTGAGGGTTTATATCTCAACAATAGTATTACTAAATATTATCAAATTTGGCTTAAATATAGAGAAACTCTCCTAAAATTACCATAAAATTTTCATAAAATTATAATTCGTAGTTTTGGAGTATTATAAAAAATTATGAAAACTTACATTAAATATAATGCTTAACAATGACAAACATGTGTCCATCAGTTGAGCACTCAAGTGAACTCCATTGGGTTAGACATTTGATTTGAATAAATTAATATTTAATTAATAGTGAGACCAATGCTGTTAACTAAAGTTCTAAACTGATGGTCACATTTGTTTTTTATTGAAAATTTTCAGATATTATTATATTACTGCAAATCTATCAATTATAATTTTATGAAAATTTTATGGTAAATTTATGAGGAGTTTCTCTATATCTTAGCATAATTTGATAATATTTAGCAATACCATTGTTGAGGTGCAAAACCGCAAACATTGTATCTTTATTTTGTCATAATGTGTGGGTATATATAACAGTATATTTGTTACCTTTCAGTAAATTTGTGTTTTATGTAAATAAACAAATAAGGAAATAATTGGATGAGTGATGTCAAGAATGCTTGCGATGGCACATAAACTAAAGACATGTCAATGTTTTTATTTATAGCATCTGATGAATCATTTGACATTTGTGTTGTTGTGTATCCAATATTATACCTACAGGTAATAAAAATAAACAAATATATAACTAATTTATATTAAAATTATTAACTTTTTATTATAAGAAATCATACCATGAATTCCAGGCGGAGTCCCATAAAGTTTGCGAACAATTGGATTCTTTACTATTATTAGCGCTTTTAGTCAAACATAATATTTCTTGAAAACATTTAAGCGCTGAAAGAGAAACCTCACTATTCTTATTAAGAGCTGATGACTCTATAAACTCTAATAATAGTATCCAAGTCTTGTAGAAATCATCGGTATTAACCAATAAATCTATTTTTAAGCTTAAAATCCTTGAAACACCCGATAAAACTAATACTTGAGTTTCAGACCTGTTTTATAATATAAACGTTTATTATTATATAAAATATTTTTAATTAAAAAAATATACCATTGTTTTTGTGCTGTATTTCTTGAATGATGCATAATAATAGTAGAACTGGCACTTCCCATAGTTTTACTGTCAGTAATTTTATCACTCGATGCCAAAACAGATAGTTGTTTAACTCGATCTAAAAGTGTGAACAAGACATCCCACATAACGGATTTCCATGTTTTAGCCTCTAAAGTGGATCCATGCGTTGAAAGCGTTGCAAACAGTGTTTGAGCTGAACTTTTACGTACTGAAGCTCGAGAATCAGTACAGAGATCACTAATTAAGTAATCAGAAATTATTAGTAATTAAAAATATTAACAATTAAGCAAAATATACTAATTTCTTACCCCAATCGCATAAATAATGCCATCCATAAGACATCAAAAAGATTTAAATTATTTTTATCACATTTTTCGGACTCATTTTGATTAACATTTTGTTCAATAAGTGACTTAATTTTGTTTTGATTGGTATGTAAAAAGTCTGCAATATTCCAGAGTAAACCAATTGCTGTTAATGATGTATTTAGTTCTTGACTTTGAGAACCAAATTTGGCGGTCGTGTCCACACATAATACCAAACAATTAGTTGGAATCAAAGCTAAAAAGTCTGCTATTATTAACTGAAGACATTGAAAGGATAGTCTAATAAGATTTTCTGTTTGAGTTTCATTTATTGCGCCAACTATTTCAAAGATTTGAGTCCAACCGTATGTTAATATGTCTCCATTTGATTGTAAAATCTGAAGCACACAATCCAATTGTTTTTGTCGTATATCTGAATGATTGATATCAGAGAGTTCCTGAAGTGGAGCCAAAAACATAAATTGTTTGACAGTCGGACCCGAATTGTTAGTTAAATTAGTTATTGTTGTCTCAGAAATTTCAAACTCTGGTTTATAATTAGTCTCCGATTGTGTTTGAGAAAGAGCTGACTTTACTATAAATATTATTCATTCAATTAATTTAATAATTCTATTATTTTACACAATTTATTACCTAAATTACATAACGCTTCAACACCCCATTCCCTCATTTTAATGTGTGGGTGAGCGCACACTATTGAAAAAATTTAATTAAAATTAAATATTATTTATCAAAAATATATTAAAACCTTCCAAGAAATGAGAAGTCATTTGTTTCCAAATAACATCAATTCTGTTGAGATTAACAATAGCTGTCTCCATAAGCTTTGCGACTGCAAACTACAGTATGTGATACATAAATTAGTAATAATTTATTGAAATGTTATAATAAATCAATTATTACTAGTGATGGTTCCCTATTGTTATATGCAATATCCATCGATTCTTGCGATAATTTCACCAAAGCGTTCACCAAATGCATCAATGACTCAGTTTTTAAGTATCTTTTTTGAAACAATAAACGTATGATAAGAAACTTTTTATGTAATAAACACTTTAAAATATAGTTTATATGATATATTAGCAAATGTTATTATGTAAATGGTTTTGTGAAACCTATGACCGGTATAAAGCGTTAAGCACTTACTGGGAACTATGAAAAACCTGAGACAACAGATCGCCTACAGAAGCATAGCTGAGTAGAGGCAGTAGGAATAGGATTGGGTTAAAGACAATAACATTTATTAATGATTTAAGAATTGAAATGAAAGGCACAATAATAAGACCATAGATTGCATTCAAATACTTACTGTGAAGACTCAAAGAGTCGGGATAACATTGTTGAAAGCATTGGTAGATCTGACATCGCAGCAGTTGTTATCAATGTGTTTGTCGAAACACCCGCTTCAGTACCAGGTCTGCCAATTTTAAGTGAACCACCATTAGTTGGTTTAAGTCCCAATATCCACACTAAATGTTGTAAAGTTGTCAAAATAATATGCCACGAGTTTTCATTTAAGACGGATCCCTGAATGTTGGCCACTGTCAATATTGCTGTTTAACAATAAGTTAAAGATAATCATTTAAATTTTACTATAAATCAGATTTAATATTACCATTCATACACTGAAGATTTTTCGATGTTAGCTATATTTTTAATTAAAATAAAAATTTAATTTGGATTTTATATAATTTATAAATGACTGACCAGAACAGGTCCCGGTTGGGTATTCTGAGTAAGCGATTGTGTCGGTAAAGGAGTTCCCACAGCAATCACCTGTTGTCGAGTCTCACTCGACTCATTTGTACCCATATATGGATTTCCAGATGTATTTTGTGAATTTTGTTGAGAAATTAAATTTGTTATATTTATTGAATCGCTTTTATCTAAACTTGTTTTACGATTAGTTAACTTTGAATTATTATCACTTTTTTGATTTAAATTAAGAACAGATAAACTATAATTTGGAGGAAGAGATGACTTGCAAATTGATGTAAGGGTTGCATCTCTGGCCTCATCTAATTCGTATATCCCGTAGAGACCAGCTTTTAATATAAATACATTTTTTGTAAACAATTAATAAATTTTAACTATTGATATAATATAAAAATACCTAATTTTTTCATTTTGCTTAAAATTAATTCAGTTATTGCTTCATCGGTAGAGGCATCCAATAGCAATGAAAATGCACCCAAAATACCACAACAACTAAAAACAAATAATTGTAATTAATTATCTAAAAAAATAAATTGTGTTTAAAACTAACGAAGCGCTCAAAAGATTTTCATGAAGAAGTCGTATGTCATCATTGAGAGTGTCGACAACATCCATGTGTTCATTAATGTTATTAACTTTATTTTTTACATCTGATTCAATAACATTAGTTATATTGTCAACTATTTCCAAAACACATGCAAATGCTGAAGATAATCCATGTCCTTCAGGTGCAGTGGGAGCCTCTAATTTGTCCAATTGTTCAATAAAGTATGGCTTATATTTTAGTTTATTTGTATTGAAAAGAAGTGGTATATAAACACCCCTCAAAAGAAAAGCTGGATTTGAATTATTTGTGTTTGAAATGGGATTTAAGGAAGAAGTTATCGAAGAATTGGATGTAACGACACTGGGATTTGAAGTGTTGTTATTGTTAACAATTGAAGCGATTAGACTTTGAGTGGTAGACGAATCAACAAACAGGAACTGAGACTTTATATATATACACAAAGCGTTTACAATATCACGAAATATTTTTGAGCTGTGAGGCTATTAAAAAATATATATATAGTATATTGTTTATATCATTTCTATTAATTATTAATATTATATATAATAAAATATAACTATAAAATTTACATACTTTCATGTCATAGAAGCGACATAAACAACTGTTTAAAAATAAATTTGATTATATTTTACTGTATATACTGTACATTTAATTTACAAATAAATTTTAATCAAATTATAATTTAAAACCTTATCAAATTCGGTTGAATCATACGGTAAAATGCTTCCAAAGCCATTGAACCTAATAATTAAATATTAAACAATTTAATAAATAATAATACATATTATTTAAAATTAAAAGTTATGTCATACGTTGCCAAATAGGTTTGTCAGACTCTAATGATTTTACTAAAAGTGACAAAAATATTTCGCTTTCCGTTATCTTAAAATTAAAAAATATTTAATTAATTATTTTTTAAACAATAACATTAATAACATACAAGCATTGTATAAAACTTTTGGATCAAAACTGAAACAATTCGCATCAAACGCACAGTTATGGGCCAAAAGGGTTTGTCAGTAGTTTGTAATGCATTTGTTTGCAAATTCAGTGTTTGAGTCCGTAATTTAGTGTTTGGAGAAAATAATTTGATAACTAATTGACAAACTCTTTCTTTCAATAGGAAACTAAACTCTTGATGCTATTTCATATAAAATAATATATTATTATTATTATTAAAAATCATAAACCGATAATAAAAACAATTAATAAAACCTTATAGAAAACATCCGGAAATGTTAAGAAAATGAGCTCTAATAGCTCTAAACCGAAAGTTCGCGTCATTTCCGTCAATCCGGTCAACCAAAAGGGTTGTTCCGCATTAACCAATTGTACCAAATCCTTGACAATTATTATTTTATTTAAAGGATTTAATTAGAATTATTATATTAAAAATATATTATAAAACCAAAAATACCTGAAAAAAGTAAAAAGCGTCTGAAGCTGATGGCTCTAAACAACTTGGAGTGTATTTTCCGGTCTTTATATCGTCAAACTTAATGTCATTATTTTTATTCCCTAAAAACAATACATCACTATTACTATTACCGTAATTTATAAATTATATATTATTTCAATACCTTCGGGTAATGTTTTATCTTCGATCTGAACTCTTTCAAAAATAGCTGAAACTAATTGACGAATAGTAGCAGAAGCGGTGTTATTAGTGGTAGAATTCTTCGTAAAGTGAAGACGAAAACAGAGAGACAATGCTTTGGCTAAACTCTCGCCTTTAACTATACTGTTGGTTGTGATCAACAAAGTGATGGTTTGTAAAAGTTTTAACTCTTCGACACCGCTTTCCATTAGATTCCATAAACAGTTCAACAAATTATTAGCCGCAGTCTAACAGTCATCAAAATATACAAATTATTTTATCACAAGACTATTAGTACTAAATTTAGTTCATCACTGCAAACATTTTTACTTTATTTTGAGATAAAATTAACTAAACATTAATATATGGTTTTAAATCTATGTATAATTTGCATAAAATATTAAATAATACTAAATTTCAATTTAAATTACTTGTAATAATATTACTAAAAGTAAATGTTTTTAAAACTTCTATACATTACCGACAAATAATTGGTTATGTATTATATTTTTAAAAATAATTTATGCTTAAAAATATAACTAACATTGAATTTATCAAATTTTATAATATTAATAAAATAAAAAGTTTAAAATAAAAATGATTTAATGACAATACTTGATTGATTGCTTCAAATATGATGAGCTTCTGGATGGCATTGAGACAAATAAGACATACTTTTGACACTTTAGTATCACATCCCATGAAGAATGGTTCCATTAATTCTGGACTATCACTCATAAGAGCGGTCTTCAGATTTTGTTGTCGTTTGCAGACATTGCGGATCTTAACGATTCCCGATTCGGCCGCCTATTGGACACAATCAGAGTTATTATTAACTTTAATAACTGGTATTACCAATGATTACCTCTTTGACCGGCGAGTGTTTCTTCTTGGCCTCGGCTGCCAACTGATGATAGTATTGTTCAATTGTGTCCACAAGTTTGCGGTCACTCGCACTCAACTCACTCATTGTTTATCACCAAAATTGGTTCAATACATCAAACAATATAAAAATTAAACTAAATTTAATTCAATATTCAATTATAGAAAAGTGACTAAAAATATGACAAATTGTTTAGTTTTTGATATCACATGAGATTAGTTGTAAAGTGAAAGTAATGTCTAAAACATTGAATGTATTTATATATTGTATTCAATCAAACAAATGGTAGACTAATAGCTAGTGTTGGTAATTTTTTGCAATTCAATTTTCGATTGCCGCAATTGCTGAAAATTGCTTGAAATTGCTTGAAATTGCGCGCATGAGGGAATGTATAAAAATTAACTTTGACAACGTTAAAAATTTGATTTACTATAGATTAAGATAATTTACTAATTTATTATTATTTTTAACATGGTTTTAGATGGCAACATTTTATGATAAAATGATTAAAATTTATATAATTAATTTATGTTTTTATTCATATTGCTTTACCATTTAAATTTTGTTAATTTTTAAAAAATTATAAATTGTTCTATGTTACAATTGCGATTTTCGCAATCGAGCTTTTTGCAATTGCGGCAATTTCACGCAATTTCCGACCAATGCAATTGCGCATTTTGCAATCGGTACATCACTACTAATAGCCAAAGCAATCAAAAGTATTATAAATATTAATATTTATTGACATTTGTTTACATTGAGTACCAAAACATTGAACTCTATATCGAAAAGCATTTGAGTGACACATCAGTCACTCATTCATTGCATTTATAATAATATTATTTCAATAATACACACAACATATGACACAACACATCATCAATAAAATACGTTATAATTATTAATACAATAATAATAATAATTATTATAATTATTGTTTTTATACATTTTGTATAATAAAGTTGACATCAATTGGTGACCAATTGTTTTCATTGAATTCTAACTTTATTTTACTATAATTTGCTAATTAATTAATTAATTAATTATTATTACAGTATTATTAAAGTATGTAAATAATACTATTTTATAATATTGTATATCATTACTAAATTTATTATAAATAGTTAATTTATATTAAATTATTAAATAAAATTAGATAAATAACTAGAAAATTTGTATCAATAATCTATACATTTATCTATATCTTAATCTATATTATCTCATAAAAGTTAATTAATATTAATAATATATTTTATTGAACAATATATCATATGATATTTATTAACTAAATTATTAATTTTATATTTTGTTTTATCATTATTTTACTGTAATATAAAATAAATTATAATATGATATATTGTTGAATTGTTGTCTATTTTAATGAATCAATTGCTATAATATTGTATTTCAATATTTAATTGAAAACAAAACTAGAGATTGATTTTTATATACAATACTAATAAATGATTTAAATAAATGTCAAAACAGTTATTGCTTTTACATTGAATCTCATGAGTGATGCAATCAATTGAATTGATTGAACAATAATAAGCATATAATAGAATTGCAATACAATTGTGTAATAACTGCTGTATTATATAATACTGTATATTAACTATACGTTTACTAAACGATACAAAAAGTTATTTATATTTTGGTTTCTCTTCATTTGTCAGCACTTGAAGACTTGATTCACAAATGGCCTCAAAGACTGTCACTGAGAACAAAGCGCCCACTTTTGGCACTTCTGCTGATCCAAGGGTTGACTTCTTCTTCCATATCATAGAAGACGCACAAAAAGACAAGACATTAAAATTGGTGAAGAAGTCGTGGAAATGTCATTCGTTGGATACTTTGAAACTGATGGCTCATATGAGGGATTGTCGTAATGGGAAAGGCATTCGCAGACAATATCACATGTGTTTGGTTTGGCTTTTCAACAATCAGTTCCCAACACTAATGGCTAATCTTAAAGAATTGGTTTCATTTGGTTATTGGAAAGATTTGCTTCATTTGCTTATGATTTTACTGTTTGACGGACACATTCCCGAGTATATGGCCAAAGATGATGGATATAAATCAAGTGATCGATCTGTCAAAAGAGGAACTGAACAAAAAAAGAAGTTTTTATTTCCAACATATGATCGATTGGTGTTAAGAAGTCTCAGAAAAGAAAGACAAAAACGAAAGAAAGAGATGAAGGCTGCCATCAAAAAGACTAAAACAGATTCAGAGGACATTGAGATGAAAGATGTGACCAAAGAATCGGTGAACGATGTTGTTATGCAAACCGTTGCGAACAGAGCTCAGGCATTACAAGAGAGTCGAAAAATATTTGCACAAAAGAAATATGAATCTAATGTTAAATATCGTGAACTTTATGATAAAATTGTTGATTTATTTGCTAATCAATTGAAGATTGATTTGGAGAAAATGGCAAAAGATATCAAATCGATATCATTGGCCGGGAAGTGGGCGCCAACTAATGCCCATCACTTCGATAAATATCTTTCAATTAGTTTACCGATTGGCAAACGTTTGTGTCAACTGACGAATAAACTCGAATTGAAAGACAAACCGAAAGATATTTCAGAGTTTTATCAGAAGGAAGTTTGTGCTCCGATTCGCAAATATCTAAAGATTCCCGAAGTCTTTATGGCTTCAAATCAGTGGTCAGACATCGACTATAGTCGAGTCGCTTCCAAATGTATGCAAAAGAATAAGTCTGTGTTTATTAAATACGATAAACAAAGATTTGAAGAATACTTAAAATCAAAGGAAACCATTGCCGGTGCTGTTCTTAAACCCGTCGAACTCGTCAATAGAGGCGATAAGTTCTTATTTGAGGTTTATAAGCAAGAAATTACCGAAGAAGAAAAATTAGAGCGAATGGTAATTGAGAAACAATGGCTATCTATTTGCGAAAACATCAAAAAGAAAGGTTTGATTTTACTTAATGTTATTTTTAAAGAAAGTCTATAATTTATATCATTAATCAGGTGGAGGTCTCTTTGATAATGCCATTGCTGTTTGTGATGTCAGCGGATCAATGAATGGCACACCAATGAGTGCAGCCATTGGTCTCACACTTCTAGTAATGTATTTATCGGCTGAACCGTGGAATTCACTCTGTATTACATTTGCCGAGAAACCACAAATTCATTTCGTGGACAAGAAATTATCGTTTATTCAAAAGTTGAGATCACTTCATAACATGCAATGGGGCGGAACCACAAACTTTAACTCAGTATTCAATTTGATTTTAAACAAAGCGGTCGAACAGCGCCTCAAAAACAATCAATTACCTAAAGTTTTGATTGTGTTCACAGATATGGAGTTTAATCAGGCCTTTCCTAATACAAAGATGACTAACTATGAAATGGCCAAAAAACAGTTTGAAAAAAGAGGCTATAAATTGCCTCCAATTATATTCTGGAATCTCAGGTCAGATAAGACATCGATGTCAACACCCGTCCAAATGAACGAAATGGGAACCGCATTACTGTCCGGATATTCGGGTCAACTCTTATCTCTTATTTTAAAAGCCGATGACTTGGAAAATATAACCCCATATTCAATGATGCGGTCGGCTATCGATAACAAACGCTATGATAATCTTTATGTTGTTTACGAAAAAGAAAATTTATAAAATTGTATAAATTTAGGGTTTAATATAAATTATGTATATTTATTTTTAAAAATCAATACAATATATTAAATATTGTAAATAATGATAATAAAATTTAATATTAAATGAATAAATATAAATATTCTTAATAATTAATAAGTGTTTTATTTTTATTTAATCGGAAGACAATATCTCAAAAAAAATAAATAATGAATTTATCGGAATGTACTCAAACATTACATGATTTTTTTTATTAAATTAAAAAAAGTAATTTCTCAAAAACAGCAAATTACCAGATTTTAAATTATACGAACAAATAAAAGTAAGTTATATTAAATTGCAAACTTTTATAATTAAAAATACATATTTTATATAAAAAAAAATATTTTTATACTTCAAGGAAACGTTTTTGCACCTATTATCATATTCAGTACAATATACAGTATAAACATTTTTAATTTAATAATAATAATTAATTATAAAATAATCAATACAATTATTATATATATATTTAATTGTAATTGATAATATTGTTGTATATAAAATAATAGTTAATTTTTAGTGTTGTAAAGATAATAATTATGTGTTGTTATACATTAAATGATTTTAATATGAATTAAATTAAATTAAAAAACCTATAAAAAATTCTATTAAAATAATACTAAAATTAATTATTAAATGTAAACTATTAAAACCTAATAAAGTGAAAACAAACATTATTTTAACTTATATGACAAAATTAATGATAACATTATTGTAATTAAAATAATGATAATGAGATTATTGATTGAAATTAAAAAATATCAAATATTAAATATAATGAATAAAGTATATGAAATTAATTACTTTATATATGAAAATATTTACAATTTAACAAATCATATCTAAATGTGGATTAAATTCTATCAAAGATTAGTAACTTCTTTATCATTTAATTGTTGGTTAAGTCTGACACTCTCCCAGTGCAAGATATAACCATCATTTTCGTAGATGTGTTTGAGTTGAGTACTACTATTAGAGTTAGATATCTGACCCAAAATATGAAGCTGTGATTGATTGGTGTTTTGATTAAGAGCTGCGAGAGCGGGAGCGTCGTGTCTGGACTGCGAACCGACACAACAGGCCAGACAAGAGCACCTTTCGACACATTTGGCAATCACTTCATCAATTGGTTCCAATGAATGCATCCAAAGCGGTAAGAAATTCCAGTTTTGCAACTTTAGAGGCAAAAGATTGGGTTTCTTACGTTGAATTAAGTTTATCACAATTGCTATAAAGAAGACCAATAAAACCGGTCCACCAATGATTATGAGAGTCCACGTGCCGGTCATTGACAGAGCAAACACAGTGAGCGGCAACAAGAAGAACATCATCACTAAGTAGAAGACACTAAACCATCGGTATTTGGCTGTTATGTTGCCTAACATACGGGCCAACCCTATTGGCCATCGCATGAATGGTATCGGATAGAAAAGTAAAATACCAGAAATGTTGAAAAATAAGTGACAAAATGCCAATTGAAGAGTACTTTTCAGACTACTTGAATCGGCCGCCAGAGCTGCTAATAGACCTATCAGTCAATGAAATTACATTTTATGTTAGATTTTCCAAAATTAAATGATTATGTGAGTTATGCTAACAATTATAAAACTTTGTAACAAATAAATTAGTAATGCTTTAGTATAATAAAAGTATAAAATATGCCGACCTGTAGTAGTGGTGCCAATATTAGATCCCAAAGTCAAGGGATACATCCTTTCCAGAGATATGACTCCAATGCCAGCCAATGGTGTCAGAGCTGATGTAAATATTGAACTACTTTGGACTAAAATAGTGAGAATACATCCGACAAGTATTGCCAAATAGTCAACAAGTATTGAATATGGGAACTGGTATTCTCTGTTCATTGTCTTCTTTATGACGACTGCTATCTGTCCTCTAAAAATATTTAATATTTGCTTTATTTTAAAACTACTTACAAAAGTTTTATACTTTCTTAATACTGTATTTAAGATTTAACACAAAATGCTTATTATATCAAGTTTTATATTATACTACTATTTTAATATTCGTTTTAAATAACAATGAGATTATAATATACTATATAATTACTTAAGCATAGAGTGAAGCAGTTTAACCATCAAAACTAGACAAACACATAACACGACCAACGATAGGGCCAGTAATACAATACCAGCGATCGTATCACTCAAATTGAATTTATAAAACAAGGAATTGCCTACAAATATAAGATTACAATTTGTTATATTTATTATAAATTAGATAATAAATCTTAGATGTTTTTTTATAAATATAAACAATTTAAAATTATAAATTAGTTCAAATTGATAATGGGATCAATTAGTGTCTTGTTTGACATTTAAACAAACCTTTTTTAATGAGAGATTGAGTGACATTACTTGACTCGTGACCGCTCGTGATTTGCGCCAAAACTTTCTTATCGAGCTTTAAATATAATACAATTTAATGAATAGTTTCTCACTTAAGTTAATTTTTAAATTGATTTTTAAATTTAATTGTACATTAATATAATAAATTTTTATATTATATTTAACATTTATTTTTTAATATTATATAAATAACTTTTTATCAATTATTTTTAAACTATAGAGTATGTAATGCAAAACTTGCTCTATTAATACTATGTAAGTTATATTTTATAGATAAATTAATATATATACAGTATATATATATATATATATATATATTTACTTAAAATAGAAATAAAAACCTAAATTAACATTTCATTTTAAACAATTTATTGTATAAACTAGAATATTATTTATTAATTTTAATATATTTAACAAAAAATATTTATATTAAAAGTTTATTAGATTTTGATGAGAATATTCTGTATAATTAAGAAATGAAATAAAAATAGTAATAACTTATAACTTATAACTTATAAGAATTAAATATATTTAACCAATTCATTACTATTGTTAACTAAATAATAAGTCATAATATATTTGGTAGTGAAGCTAAAATTAAAAAATTATCAAAAAACTTTTGAATAATTTATTATGAATTACTTTTTATGTAAACCGCATGTTAATTACCATTATTTACTTTATGTAGTAATTAATTTGTAATATAACATTAGTACTGTTATTAATATTGTTATATAATTGTATATTAAATATAAGGGATTGTTATATATTATATTATAGAGAACCCAATAGAGGCCTCTAAATGATTGAAAATAGAGAAATGCAATGAAAAGTGATGCAAAAGTGTTTGAAATAAATATTTTATGATATTTTGTGTTATATATGTCGTCAGTATTGGCACAGAATTAGTAACATTAAGTGTTCACGTGTTGTCTCATTCAATATGAACTGAAAGTTTATTTCCTCAAGAAATCAATAGTTTTTACAGCGACTGTCTGTACGGGTAGTCAAACGGATACACATAAGCGTGTAATATATGTTATGGTTTGGCTTTGAATATAATGTAATCGTTATGAAGACATGATGTCCTCACCATTTCATACACATTGCGCCATACATTGCAATGCATTTTTAGTCTAAATATTAATACTTATATTACAGATATATTCACTACAGTATTAATACTTTTACATTAAATTAATTTATATATGATATATACTTTATACAGTATATAAAGTATATAATATATTCTGTAAATACAATATATACAACGTATATACAGTATATATATATATATATATATATATCGATATAATATAAGTAATATTTTAGATATTTTAAAATTATTTTAAGTATCAATTTTTATAAAATTTATATATATTACTTTTGGAAAATAAAAATGATTGTAAAGTTTGAATAATTGATAAAGAGGAAAATTGCAAAATAATTGAAGACTATTTGTTAATATATTAAAATTGCAATAAAATATATGATGATATATATACGGTATATTGAGATATAATTTTGTTAAAATAAGTTAGATTAGGCGATATATTATAATTAGTTTGAAGTAATTGTCATTCAATGAATACCTCAATAATCAGTTTAGTAAACGGTTTGGTTAGTCGGCCCAAGAACTCAGTGTTGGTATTGGTATCTCTTTCCCAATTGGCTTGAATGAGATTATCGGTAATAATTTCTAAGTAATGAGTGGACACTTCAAGTGGTAAAAGGACAATAACGGTGAGCCAATTGAACATATCGTGAACGGTTGCGGCGGCGAAGGCCAGTCGGAACTCATTTCGATCGGTCGCCTGCATGAGTGACACAATAGTATTGGTAACAGAGGTGCCGATGTTGGCGCCCATCACAATCGGTATGGCGTTCCGTACTTTGATTACTAAAAGTTTTCGTTCATTACTAATGAGGCCAAAGCCTCATATATAAGTGAAAAATCACTTACAATGGGAGCCAACCATTGTTACGACAATCGATGTCGATGTCGACGATGACTGTACCAGAACTGTGACCAACACTCCAATCATGAGCCCCACCACCGGATTCTTCAGTAGTTCGCTATCAGCTATTATTCTTCCAACAGCTCGACTTCCAACCAATCGAAATGCGGAACTCAAGAAGTCAAGCGAACAAATGAAGAAATATAACAGTATTATCAATGCTATTATCTTCAATATATTTGTCACTATTCTTCCAAATCTTGACTTCGGCTCCATTTCTGTTAAAACACCGAAATAGGTGTCAAAATTTCGGTATATAACCAGTAGTTATTGTATATCAATAGCGAGGAATAGGACAGGTAGTGAATACACATTATGTAATATATTTGTGTATTATATTGCATTAATTTGGTAATAAAGGGTATTGACTCGTATGGCTATATCATTATATCATTAATGTGTTTTCGTATATTTAATAGTTTTGATTACGTGATTATAATAGTTTATCTAATTTTTGTCTATAAACTCTCACATAAGCTATAGAGTGACATTATGCATAAAATTGTTACATTTTAAATTTAATTAACATTATAATTTTAAAATAATAGATAAATCATATTTTTATTAGTACACAAGTTATATGTATCTTAAATGTAATTAACATTATTACTATTACTAACTTTTTTGAAATTTTTAAATACTGAAGTATATCAAAGTAAATCAATATTAATAATCAGTTTTCAAATAATATATATTTTAAATATTATAAAAACTAAAAAAGAAACTCTAATTTTGTAATACAAGTAATAATATAGTAATTTGAAACTCAAAATTCAGTTATTACTGTGACTGATAACGATTTACATTAATGTAAATCTAACCAATGTTTGCATAATTATTTTAACACTGGTCTAACATATATTCATATATTATAATGACATTTGTGATGATATCAAAATATAACCTTTTTATTAATAAAATATAAATCTAATGCAATTGTATTTCACAATTAGTTAAATATATTACTATTAATATCTTTATATTCTTTTAGGATATTTTAAAATAATTTATTACATTAAGAAAGACATCATTTAAAGAAATTCCTATCAGAGATAAGCATCAAATCATAAGTTGTATTTAAAAATAGTATATATATTAACATTTTCTTAATATTTAACTAAATATTGTACATATTATAGAGTAGTTTAAAGTGGTGTATCTACTGTATCATATTTAACACATAAAATTATTATATATACATACTGTAGTATTTATAACATAGAAATGCATTCAACGCATCAATTTTATGATATGAATAGTTTGCAAATGGGATTCAATTTGACAAAAACTTTATTTTTTTATGTCTGACACTTTTAAAAAATTATATTATCTCTAACTTAAGCAATAGTTTTTTAAATGCTATATATATTAAACTATTGTCACAATTAAGAAGACTATGAAGAAAATATATTGTAACACATTTAGCAATTCATTCATTAAATAACTTATTAATACTTAATAACTTAAATGGCAATAAACAGGAAATATCTGAATACATTATCATTATAAAATAAGAGACATATTAATAGATGTAAATTATAATCATTTACTGTTTAATATAATCATTTTAATTGTGAGATATATTAAACAATAATTTACCACAAATACTGTATAATAATGCAATAACATGTAAATATGCTATAAATAGTGCACAATATATTGATCTAATATAACTACATATTGTTTGTTTTCCATGATTATATAAATATTTTTAAAATTATAAAATTAATGAGAAATTATATACTGAGAATATATATAAACTGTAGTGTATGTAATAAAAATAAATAGATATATTAATTAGTATAACTATGATATGACAATAACTATAAGCAAAAAGAAATATAGTTTGAAATGATAAAAATAATTACTAAAATTTATTTTATAAATATTAAATTCAATAATAATCAAATAATTTATATAAAATGTAAATTATTAAATATCAATAAATAGTTTCATTTTAAATGTACTAATAAAAAATTATTTTTCCTGTTATCAAAATAAATGTTGACAATAAAAATAAATAAAATAATGAATTGATTTAGATTTTAGAGGTTAGATTTTTGTCAATAATTTTGTTCATAAATACAGTATATATCATAAAAGAAATAATTACAACAATTATAATTTTACTCTAACTTTACATAAAAAAAGATTTCGTATGTTTAAACATAATATTACAAATTTTGATAATTATTTATGAATAAAATAATTGATAATTAAAAAATTTGAATTTGTTTATATAAAGCATACAAGTATTGATTAGTACAGTACAGTATTATTACGTTAAAACATATGATATGATAAAAGCAAGCAATAGATAATCATTGAATATTCTGAACATAAGAATATTCTCATTAAACGATTTTCGCCGGCAATCAAAATATATATATATATATTAATATAATACCTGAATTGATATTTGTTTTGTTGGGACTCCAGGTGCTCATCATATTGTCGACAACAATCAGATTGTTGTGCTCTGGACTACAATTCAATGAGTCTTCGGGTAGATGTGTCTGTAATGGTTGAACACAACTATTGAAACCCATATTCTGGTGATTGTCTCACATATCATACCTTATTCTTATTGAATCCCATTCTTGCGATTGATTTCTTCTGATAATGACTTTCGACAGTGAAAAACACGTTTCACTAATAAATAGTGTGAAGAGTTTTAACAAAAATGTGAGACAACTCTTGTTTCACAAATTGATGTCAGGATAAGGGATGTGGAGCCAGACTGGAGACGAACGACTGGTTAAGAAGTTGTCAGAGCTGTACTGTCAGTGCTATGTATGTGTTGTTTGAGTAATGATGTGAAGTACCACTACCTCAGTCTGTCTGTCCAATGCAATGCCAGAAGCGGTGACACAGACCACGAGCACAGAGAGGCATATCATGCACTCAATGCGTGCAGTCGTTACGTAAGTCTTACGCGAGACACACGCCTTCACTTTAGTACTATTTATAACCAATCATCGGCTCAGTTAGCAGAGACTCCCATACATTGTAATGACAAACCATTTCGATAGCGAACTCTTGTGTCACATATAACATAAGTACCACCTCTTCTGCAATTATGTGAAGGAATTTCAAGATCACTGTTAAAATCATTTGTTTAACAGATATTCAATTATTTAATATTAAATAGATATTCATATGCAACACATACACACATACACATACACATACACATACACATACACATACACATACACATACACATACACATACACATACACATACACATACACATACACATACACATACACATACACATACACATACACATACACATACACATACACATACACATACACATACACATACACATACACATACACATACACATACACATACACATACACATACACATACACATACACATACACATACACATACACATACACATACACATACACATACACATACACATACACATACACATACACATACACATACACATACACATACACATACACATACACATACACATACACATACACATACACATACACATACACATACACATACACATACACATACACATACACATACACATACACATACACATACACATACACATACACATACACATACACATACACATACACATACACATACACATACACATACACATACACATACACATACACATACACATACACATACACATACACATACACATACACATACACATACACATACACATACACATACACATACACATACACATACACATACACATACACATACACATACACATACACATACACATACACATACACATACACATACACATACACATACACATACACATACACATACACATACACATACACATACACATACACATACACATACACATACACATACACATACACATACACATACACATACACATACACATACACATACACATACACATACACATACACATACACATACACATACACATACACATACACATACACATACACATACACATACACATACACATACACATACACATACACATACACATACACATACACATACACATACACATACACATACACATACACATACACATACACATACACATACACATACACATACACATACACATACACATACACATACACATACACATACACATACACATACACATACACATACACATACACATACACATACACATACACATACACATACACATACACATACACATACACATACACATACACATACACATACACATACACATACACATACACATACACATACACATACACATACACATACACATACACATACACATACACATACACATACACATACACATACACATACACATACACATACACATACACATACACATACACATACACATACACATACACATACACATACACATACACATACACATACACATACACATACACATACACATACACATACACATACACATACACATACACATACACATACACATACACATACACATACACATACACATACACATACACATACACATACACATACACATACACACTACTCACTTAAAGAAATCTCAATAAAATATGCAGAGAAATGTCGAGTGAATATATTTATACAATAATTATATTGAATTAATTAAACTGATAATGAAAAAGATAATATATTATAGTTTGTCATCCAATGAAATTCAATATATAGTTCCAACAGTTCCAGTGGTGTTTCTTTAAGGACATATACTGTACAGTACTGTAGTATATCTAAATTATTTAAAGTTAAATGAGATTTAATAAAAAATTTTATTGTTTTTAAAAATTTAATGAAAAGAAAGTGACAAAACAGGTCTGATTTAAACTCTATCTTCAAACCTGTTCATTGATTCCTATATGTGTTAATACATTATATAATATCTTTCACATTGATCTACCTGTCCTTCTTGAGTGCATTATTTTTATTTGTCTTAAAATTTTCTATTAATATTAATAACAAAATATATTCAATTAATTTATAAATTTAATGAAATACAAAACTATAAATTAAATCGTATTATTTAGTAATAAAAATTATTAATCATTGCATGCATTTCTTACAATTTACTTATGAAATACAGTAATTGAAAACAATTATGTATTCGTAAATTGATTGATTGAATCGATTAACTTTAATAACTTTTAATACATACTTTAGTTCGCAAAACTTTTATAATAAATAGTAATATTTAAAAAATAATAAATATTTATAATTTGTACTTGTACATTTAAAATATCATATACAGCATCTAATTACCGGTAATTGCAAAACAATTTTTTCAAAGTTAATATAATGTTAATAATTAATTTTCAAACATACAATATTTACCGATAATTAAATATTTTGTTTCAAAATAAATATTCATGATTTCATAGTTTAAAAACAAATGTAATTAATTTACTGGTAATTGTTTTTCTATTTTTCAAAATTTATTGTGAATATTAATATACTGTATTTATTTAAAATAATTTGAATACAATTTATTTATTAATAACTTTCATTAAATAGATAATAATTTTGAAATAAAAACATAATAATTGAGGATTTAATTGATATAATAAACAAAAATCTAAGAGTCGGTTGCTTTGAAAGTGTCCTCATCGGTGGTACTGAAGATATGGCCTTCATTTGCTAAGAAGTCAATGGCTTTAGTGATTTCATTTGGACCAACGGCGGGAATTGAACTCATAATTTCTTGTCGAGTAATGCCTGCACTCATTGGATCTGCTTTTGATATAAGATTGAGAACAGTCTTCTGAATGGGAGTAAATCCTTGCATATGAGCGGCATTTATGGTCGAGTTGTTCATTGAGAAGCTGTTGGTATCCATCGAGTTGTTCATTGAAGCCGAAAGTGTCTCATTTTTGCGTCTCTGGAGAACAATTGAATCGGTGATCACTTCGAGAAAATGCATATAAATCTCGTTCGGGTCTGTAATGGGTTCGACACGAAAGGCCACAATGAATGGCTTTTTGTCATCATATCGGGACTGTCCGATCACCCGAACGTATGTCTTCTCACTAATCGGCGGCGGACTTATGTACCGACTATTCATAGCTTTAATTCAAATAAACAAATTTATGTCAAAATACAAAACAATTGATAAAAAACAAGTTATTGATAATCATTACATTCATTGTCATCATTCTTCCAGTATTGAACTTCAACGGGCGCTCCTCGTGTCTGATCGTCGATTCGGTAAATGTTTTTAGTGGTCAACTCTTCAATACTAACGACAAGTCCAATAGTGGTCAACGAGTGAACCTTTTGTCTGTGAATCACAAGTCCGTCATCTTTTCGGGTGCAGTGAACCACTTGTGACAACGAAACGGCCACCAAATTCTTGCGATCACCACTTTGGCCACCGGACTGACCGGCATTTGCGGGTCCATTGGTGTTGGGATCAAATTGACTGACAAAATATCCTCCGCTTTGATCCATAATTTACTTGTTTTGGTCGATGTCTTGACGTTTTGTCTGCAAATGTATTGACTTTTGTTTTGACTAACAATTTGCCGCTCAATAGACAACACTTGACATCAATTACACGACAAACACATGTATTACACACACTATTATACAATACATTACTTTATTCATCAATTTATTAAATAAATCAAATTTTTATTATATTTTAAAACTTAAAACTAAAACATTATATAATTATAAGTAATTGTAAATTAATAGTCAATACAATACAAATTAATTAAATATCATTTTAAACGTTTTATTTATATTATATTAATAGTAATATTAATAGTAATGTAATTTATTAATAATATTAGTGTTTGCACTTATTTGGCGCTAATTTTAAATAATAATATTTAAGTAAAATACTATATGATAAAACTTAAGTTAATATTATATAATAGTATATAAGTAATAAAATTACACTAATTCATACATACAGATGAAATTAATATTAATTTTATGTACTAATTAAATGGTTTATATGATATTACATTAATTGTTTATTTTACTTTTATTGTAAACCAAAATAAATGTATACTTTTATGATATTTTTATTTATTATCAACAAAATATCATACAATAGTTACTGACAATTATATAGACTAATAGTACACAAATTAATTAATTGTTTATTTTATATTTTATATATCATAGTCAATAACTTATATTATATATTTATAAACGTAAAAAATTATATTTTAATCATAAATATTTTAATTGACATAAATTGTTTTAAATAGTAGTTTTAATTATTTGGATATTCAAATTACTTTAATATTAGATTAAAAATCTGATTTATTTTGAATGATTTACTGCATATCTATTTATGTTATTACTTAATATTTTTGGTAAAAGAAATACAACTATAAAACATTTTAAAACAAGAAAATAATTAATATTTTGAAGATTATATTATAAGTTGGATATCATTGATATCATATAAATCAATAGATAGTGATTGTTGTATGGGTTCAATCTCTTTGTAATGAAAAATGAGAGCACAGGTACTTAATATGATATATTGAATTGCATTTACAAATAAGTTATAATAATTATATTCTGTGATTAGGATGACTGTCCAAATTGAAATATTTACAAGTGTTGTAACAAAAGTATAATTTGCTAGCTTTTTGTCAGTCAATGAAAAACTTAATATTGAAAACAATGACAAAATAGCTGTCAATATCGAGATTATCACATTAATCAGGTCTCTGTCTGTGATTTGGCCAATCACTTCAAATATGACTTCGCGGACAGCAATGGCTACTATGGATGCGTTTAACATCAGTACAAATGACTCGTTATTATTATTATTATTATTTCTATTACTAATTATAAGTGACATTTAGACAAGTATTTGCATACAATTATAAATTTAAGGATAACTAGAAATTACTAAAATTTGAAATCAATTTATAGCTTAATAGAATAGCTTGTATAAACTTACTGTAGTATTGTTGCAAATCATATAAAATAAAAACTAGAGTTTAGACTTTGAATTAGTTATATAACAATTAATTGATTTATATTAAGAAAGTGATAATATTATAACTAATTGTATCTTTAGTTGGAAATATTTTTCATTCAAAAGCAAATGTTTCATTACTTTGTATATTTTATAATATAATACATTATTTAATGTAAGGGTTCGATACTTTACGCAAAGCTAAATGTAAAACAAAATGTATTTGACTTTAATTTAAATTTAACATAAAACTGGCATAACTTATGCAGATTATTATATTAAAATTTGCAAATTGTAATAACATTTAATGGTATACATAATTTGCTGTAAATGCAGTTTTAAATTTTAATGTCTTTTTTATGCGTGAAATACCAACAATTAGTATAGAATATTGAGTTTATAAGGAGACAGTAAATACATGAAATTATTTTAATATTACAGTAAACTAAACTAAGATAATAAAGTTTTCTTTCTATTACAACTATCAAACCTCACACTCCACCCACTTCACCCCCACTTCACCCCACTTCACCCCCACTTCACCCCACTTCACCCCAAACTAACCCAAATATAAAGACATCAATTTTTATTTACATTAATATTTAGCATTAGTATTATACATTAAGATAAAAAACAATTAAAAACCAATAGTCTCGTGCAATTTGTATTTGATTTAATGTATTAAAATTATATGTATTTACTGATTCATTATAAACTCCATTTATGATAATTATTTAATAACAATAATTATTTAGCGATTCTCTAATTAATTGAATAACATATTCATTATTGCATTAAATATTTCAACAGTTTTATTATATTTTTAAAAATCGGTTACAAATAGTTAAAAAATGAATACTTCGGAATCAGAAGAAAAGAAAAATGAGATATTAATTAAAGTTATTTCTAAAGACGGAGACATTCGTGTCGTTAAACAAGAGATGGCAAAGATGTCACTGACCCTCAAGGATATGCTCGATACTACCGGTGCTGATCTGTCAGCCAACCAACAACTGCCTCTTCCATTAAATCTTATATCAACAAAAGTTTTGGATAAAATCATTGAATACACCGGTTATCACAGTGAAGACCCAATTGAAGAAAAAGATTCGGATGATGAAGAAGAACCTGAAATCAAGAAAAGTGATGACATAAGTGATTGGGACAACAATTTCATGAAAAATATGGATTGCAATACACTTTTTGATTTACTTTTGGCTGCAAATTATCTTAATATTAAAGGACTGCTAACTCTCGGCTGTAAAGTAGCGGCAAATCAAATCAAAGACAAAAGTGCTGAAGAAGTACAACAATTGTGGCGAATTGAGTGCGACATTAGTCCTGAAGAAGTTATACAAATCAAGAGAGAGAACGCTTGGGCTGAAGATTAAGACATTATTTTGAATCAAATTTCTCTTTTCTTTCTTTTGTTTTCTTATCTTACGTTAAAATTGTTATTAAAATAAAGTTTTGTTAAAATTGACTCATAATATGAAATACAATATAATGTAAATTATTGTTTATTATAGTTATACAGTATTTGTAACATTACATGTATATAATTCGTATTTAATAAATAGTGTTTTGATTTCCAACTAAAAAACTATTTTATCGGTTTAGCCCTTATATAGATAACTGAGAAATAGTATGTCCACTAAACATAACCAGTGGACGCTATTCCCGAAATTTTATTATAACTATAAAAACTATAGATAACTATTTCAATGATTTTGAAAAATACAGTATAAGCATTAAACAGTAAAATATTGCACAAATATATGTAAAAATACAAAATAATAGTAAAATGTTTTTAATTAATATTAATTTTTGTTGACAGTAGAAATAATTAGTATATTTGTTTACATCATTTTTGTAGATAAGCTGAAAACAAGTAAATTATAAATCGTTTGGAAATATTTTAAAAAATAAATAACTATTTTAATAATTATTTGGCTTTTTATGGCAACTATTATACAATAATTATTATTGAGAAGTTATTCTAAATTAAAAAATATTTTAAGTGATAAACGTCTAAGATTTTAATTTTATTATTCAATATAATCAAAATTAATGTAATTATTTGTAAATATTTTTTAAAAATAAATAAATATTTCAATAACTATTTGGCTTTTTTAGCAACTATTAATATTATAACAACTATTTGATAGAGTTTAAATAATTAATAATCAATACTTTAATATTTTTAAAATAATAAATATATAAACTCTTGAAGTTTTGATAATAAAATAATTTTATAACATAGTTTTAAAATTAGATTAAATGATTTAATTTTTAATTTGTATTAAAATCTATAATTTTATATAAAAACTATAAAAAGTTTCTAGTTATTAAATATTTTTTTAATATGACTTTAATACTTTAATACAAATAGAAATGAGTAAATATATTATTTGTTAATTTTGTTAAAATTTTAATTTAAAAATATTTTAAAGTATCTTTTATATATATCACAAGTTAAATTTGTAATTATTAACATTTATATTAATATAATGTATCAATATAAGTATACTTATTTTTATAGATGTGATACTGTTTGAAACTTTTTAAAAATATCATTATATAATAATATATTATAAAACAGTACTATATAGTTTTTTTAATAATATAAAATAAATTTTACATAATTACATTTAATAATTTACTATTAATATTTTTTAGCTAATAAAAGCTAAAAATGGCAGAACTTATTTTTATTTCAATTTTTATAATACTATTTATTTACTAATAGCACACTCCAGAGTATTACATCAAATAAACGGTAACTAACTTACAATAAAAATGAAATATTTGTGATAAGAAAATCTATCCGTTAATCCAAATATAAAATTATGCGATAAGTTTGCCATATGTTTGGACACAAGTTTTGCAAACTATATTTAGTTAAGTTTTTGTTAAATAAATTATTTTGTGAATAAGTTATACAGTTATAAGTTATGTAGTGTACAGTATAATACCTTTTTTAGTAAATAAGGCACCGTTTTTTTTGTGTAACAAATATTTCATTATAATTTTCAAGTGTTGTGTAAACTTGAAATAACCAACAGTTTTATTAATATTTTTACTTATCTTAATATATCAACTCAATACCAGGTGTGGACAGACTTATTGATTATTGATATTAATTTAAACCATCATTTTTTCGATATACACTACACTATACACTAATAAATTATTAATATTATATTAAAATTCAGTTATTTAGAAATAGTTTAAAATTCGTTATCTATACATATATATAATAAATTTAATAATACTATATTACAGTAAATATATAGTCATTATTAAATTAAAATTTATTTTTAATGTATGCATTTATAAATTTATAGAAATATTATCAATTTTCAAGATAGAAAAATATATAGATTTACTTTAATTGATTATTTAATTTATCATTTTTCAATTTATTCAAATTAAAAGGTTGGTAATTGATTTGTGAAATTATTTATATCATAAATAAATTTTAAATAACACTTTGAATCTGACTTTTTTAATGAATTGTTTGTATATTAAATGCATTTTTGCCATTAATTAGAAAATTAATTCATTGTTTGTCAACTTTGTTTGCGATGATAAGCCTCTCCATAGTAATCATCAAATTGAAAGAGTAGACCATCTGTTTCTGTCAACTACTTGTCTCTTAAATTGTGGCTAAAGTTATATATATATTATTAGTTATGCCGTGACTCGGATTCAGAGCATTTAGGCTAATGTATAGCACAGTTGGTCTGTGCGGTGATTGTAATGTATGGTTGTATTGACGGCATCGTAAAAATTGGCGTAATATTGTGCTTTCAAATTGATATTATGCTAATTTTCACGAGGCTTTACAACCATTTATTCCTCATTTTTTATTATATAAATATAATTTCAATATCTTTAATACAATTTCCTAAAATATTGAATAAACTAATTGTATTGTATTATATTTGTTATAATTTATTAATAATTATAAGGTTAGTTAAAAATGTCGATTTTATAAAATATTTTTATGTTTACTAATTTTAAGTATTGCTGTAAATTACAACAATTTATAAGTAAATATAAATTTACAAGTTTTTAATATAAAAATTATTATAAAGTGTAATAGACATCTATTTAATAATAAATAGTATATCTAAACTAAATTAATTTAAATTATTGAAATTATTTATTGATTATATCGTATGTTAAAATTTATTTAAATATTTAAAATAAATTCATTTTCATATAAAAATAACTATTTATCAGAGAGTCTTAAACAGAGGCGATGACGATGATAGCGGCGATGCTATTAATTATAATTATCTGATGAATAATATGTTGGATTTAAAAGTAACCATGGACAAAATTGTTGATAATTTTTAACTCAACAAAATTGTAATTGGTCATTTTTTAATTAATTGTGTGATTGGCCAGATAATTGCAGTCGACTGTTGAAATTTTTAAAAAATAGTAGTCGACTGCAATTATCTGGCCAATCACACAATTAATTAAAAAATGACCAATTACAATTTTGTTGAGTTAAAAATTATCAACAATTTTGTCCATGGTTACTTTTAAATCCAACATATTATTCATCAGATAATTATAATTAATAGCATCGCTTCCACCGCTGTTTAAGACTTTCTCATTATTTATATATAAAAATAAAATTTTAAATTTAGCTCTTATTTTGTAAGCAAAACACGTGTGTTTAAAATAATACCTTTTTAGACATTGAACTCAATAGATATGAAAGTATAAAAAGGTATGAAATTATGTCATGTTTTTGAGTGATTTTGAGAGACGAAACACAAACAGTGAGTAAATCGTGAAAATTTGAGACAAAAAAGTGGTCACAAAATGTCAAACAAAGAGATTATACGACTGAAGATACTTCACGTCAAGACATTCACTCATTATATGGTCAGAGAGAATGACACCAACGACGCCAAGAGGTTCAATAAACTCGAAGATTTGATGCAAAAGACATACTCATTGAGCGACGACTGGTCATCGAGAGATCAGTTGGACATCGGGTTGTGTGTCTCCGCATATCTCAATCCGTATACAAACCGACCAAAAGCACCGAAACTGTGGGTTCGGGCATTGGTTCGCAATATCTTCATGAGTGTCGGCACTTATTTATATTATGTATATCTTGTCGACTACGGAGTGGACGTATGCGTTAAGAGGACATTCATACGGGAACTGAAGGCACACTTTTCTCCGACAGCTTTTGTTTCATATCAAGCGATGGATTTTCATTTGTTTGGAGTTGAAGATCAAAATCAAGAAGATTGTGATTTAAAGACATTGAAGCCATTGAATGATATCTTCAAATTAAACAATAATGAAGTTTCGGTGATAATCAATAACTCTATAACAGACAAGAAATCACTCTTAGGATCGATTGAGTTGTCCGATGGACAAGATTTAGCTCAGTATTTGTTAGATAAAAGACTCGTTAAGATCGACAATAAGTCTATTAATTATAGTAATCATGAGATGATTGATGTTAGTGTCCGAAAACCAAAGTCTACGCCGTTTTCTAAAATTAATCTAAAAAAGTCTTCAGATGTTTTGCGATCAGTTGATAACAGTCAAGAATTTTGCTGTAATTTGAGTACAACATCTGAAAATCAGTTAAATGAATCCAATTGTTCCATAGATTCTATTAGTTCTGTTGATCTTAATATCGATAATTTATCTGACAGTATGTCCAATGCGTCGATAATTGTGAACGACTCGGATAATGACTCATTGAAAGACTATTCATTAATTGAAGAAATGAATGGTGCAAATCAAGCAAAAGACGGACACAAAGAAGTTAAGATTAGAAGATTGAAATTACTTAAAGAGTTAAAAGCATTAAATCGATTGGAAAATGAATCAAAAGTAGATAATGCAGTGGTATGTGAACGACATCTTGAAATAGTCAGTCATCCGATTGAAAAGGAAGAAAATGAAGAGATTGAATGGCCAGTCGTTGAATCAGATCGTCCGGCAGTTACTCTAAAACCAGCCGGTGTTCAGCCACCATCTCATGTCATCCAAAAGATTATTACTTTACGACAAAATAGATTTTTTGAGTTTTGATTTCATTTATAAATTTTGTATATTGATTATAAAATGTTAATATTTTGTTTCCATTGATGATATTCATAGTTAAAATTTAATAGCTATCATATTATTATACCGTAATTGTAATAATTTTGAAACTAATTTCTAATTTAAAATTTATGTTTTGTTTTATTTGATAGTTAAATATAAATATTTAATTTTTTCTAATAACTAACTTTTATGTGTTTATATTACATAATATTAATTAATTAAATTTCATATTAGAAATATGATTCAAAATTTTCTTTAAATATACATAAATCTCGCACTAGTTATAATAATGAAATAATATTAATACATTAAATCAATAATACTTGAATTATAAATAGATATTATATAACGATAATACGGTGTAATACATTAAAAACTTGTATTTTTTAAATAATCATTTTATTTAATTAGTTTAATATTTACATTTGTAAAGCACATGTATATCACTGGTCAGTACTATTAGTTATAAAGGGATTTGAATCAAATGTTTAACAATAAATAGATTATCAAGTATTATATGTGTTATATATTATACGATATTATATATAATTTCAGTTTTTTGTAATTATTGTTTACAAAACAATTTGATTAATAATTATAATTTAAACAAAGTTTTAGTAAAATTAAATAATAGTTATTAATACTAATAATGTTTTACAAGAGAGACAATAACTCACTCTATTGTCAAACATTGCATTCAATGTAATCGTAAGTAAATATAATGAAAACAAATGCTATTATTATTACTATTAATACTAATAACTGACAAATCATTAGTTTAACCAAACATCTGATTATTAAGTGATTTGTCAAACATCTGGACGTTTTGGTGGACACCCGATAATATTTACCACAACTATGGACTCATCGGCCAATGAGTCGGCAATTCTTGTAATAGACGACAACAGTAGTCACGGATCGGGCCATCGATTGGCCGCTATTGACGTGAATTCAGCACAAAATGAATTACAATTTCATTCATTCATACCATCGACTACTCAGACGACAACAACTAATACAAAGACATCATCGGTGTACTCATCGGCCACTTTTGATGACAATAATACCGATGAAGAAGATATACTATTAGGTCAGAGTCCCGATAAGTCATCTAAATATTCTTCGGTTGGTTTTTGGAGACTTGAATACTTTGGACAATACTTTGATGTGACCACTAATGAAGTGTTGCAACGGATATTGTGGTCATCGATACCCACTTTGGGCTCAAAGAAAGGCAATTATGTTGAAAGACATTTGCAGTCGGGACCCGATTTGTATGGACCCGTTTGGATATCAATTACACTGGTGTTCGCCACAGCTATCTGTGGTAATGTTGCTAATTATGTCAAGACTTTAGGAGACGGACTCAATGCCACTCATGAGGAATGGCATTACGATTACACTAAAGTAATGTGCTTTTTATGTTTAATGATATGATAAATGTATTAATTAAGATATTAATGACAATTAATAGGTAGGATTAGCCGCGTCGACAATCTTCACATATGTATTGGCAGTTCCCGTGTGTTTGTGGTTCTTGTTTTGGTTCAGAGGCTGTGTCGCCAACTATTCATTATTAGAGACAATTTGTATTTATGGATATTCCCTATCAATCTATGTTCCCATTTCTATATTATGGGTAATCAATATCCGTTTAATTCAATTAATATTATTATCAATCGGAGCCATTCTATCGGGTAGTGTTCTGGTGCTTACATTTGCACCGGTAGTTCAAAGCGATCCGTCAAAAACTATTAAAACTTCATATTTAATATTAATTATTATTATATTAATTCACGCTTTTCTTGCCTTTACTTTTCTCCAATATTTTTTCTAAAATCAATTATTAAAATTATTTTGTAATTACAATAATATAATGCTGTAATAAGTTTGTTATCACTTAAATGTTTTTTATATTCAATTATTATACATGTATTTGTTGTAATTATCTATTTATTTAATTATTTATAACTGTTATTTAAAATAAATATATGAATATTAAAAACATACACTAAAACATTTTCTAAAAACTTCATAATTTTAACAGTATATTAGTGATGCAAAATTCAGATGAATTTATTTATAAGTTGAATATTCAATTGAAAATTTTGAAAATTCAGATTTTTTTATTGAATTTATAAAACAGTAATAATATTAAATAATTTTAGATTATCAATAAAAATATTAAACTGAACAATAAAATGATTAAATTAGAAGATTATTTGAAAATATATTAAATTAAAAAACATTTTTAAAAACGCAAATTAATACATAGTTTTATTTAATTTAAAGTTTGACACCAAAGGGCACAACAAACAACTCAATTAATTTCCAAACCCTTTAATATTGATTTGAATTTTATGAATATTCAAAATTTTCAATCACTTACATCATTACAGTATATTAATATTAGAAATAATATTACTAGTAATACAATATTACATAAATTTATAATATTATTAATAGATAATATAGATATATATGTTGTATAAATAGTGTTGATAAAAAAGAGAAATTTATAAAATAGAGAAATTTCTAGAAAATTTCTAAAATAAATTTCTTTCTATGTAATCTTATGTTAATTTTGTTCTCCCGATATTTGTAACAATACATTATAATTAAAAAGATAACTAAATATTATTATTATATTCTAATATTTAATAAAATTTTACAAAAACTATAATTATAATTATATATATATATATATATAGGAATACAATTTGTATAAAAGTATAGTGTTTATTATGTTCAATAGTTATAAATATGGGGATTCTATAGTATAATAATAAGATAAAATTTTTATTGAAATTTATTACTGAAGAATTTTCTTCTGGAAATTTATTAAAAATTTTTATTTTTCCATCTCTGTGTATAAATGGATAACAAAATTATTGATAATTTTTAAGAATATTTACTGGAATAGGAATATTAATTTAGAAGTTTTAGTGACTTTATTATGACTAAACTAAGAATATAAAGTTTAATAATAAATACTATTAAATAAATATTATACCTGTATATATAAAATAATTTTTAAAAATTAACTTTTTATAATTATTATAATATTTAAAAAACGGTAACAAATATCACACAAATAAATATCATACGATTGTGTCTAATATACCGTACAAATAGTATAAATTTAATCTTATAAACTCTAAAATCTAGAATTTATTTATTTTTGTTCAAAAAATGTCGAAAACAGAGAAATCAAGTTAAGCTAAAATGAAACAATTTGTCCAACAATTTAGCGATGATTTGATAATAACATTTTTAAACAGTTGAATAATTAAGTTTAATATTTATAGTAATAAATATTGATTAAATAAGACATAATATCATAAATAAAAGATGATATGATAATATTGATAAAAATATTGTACTAAATTAATATTTGTTGCTATTCGTGTTATGTAATCAAATTTGATATTAAATACTGTTATATTATATGAAAATCGTATTTTTAGAGCATTTTATTATTAAATACAATGCTTAACAACAAATAGCAATAAATATTTGTATTATTTCTTAAAATATACAGACAATTGTAATATCAAATCAATGTTTAAAAAAGTAAAAGTATTATTGAAAGCAAAATTCCGAGTGTTTTGTTGTATTGTTAGGTATGTTATCATTCATGGAATCATAATATGAGTGTTATTTAAGCGGAAAATAATATATCAATCGCTTGAACGCTAAACGAGATATCTTTTCAATGAGTTCTCCACAGTTTTACCAATCATTGCAATCATTGGCGGCACTCAACTGTTTTGCCAAACATTTTTCTATAGTTGTGTATAACGTTATTTCAAAGCTAACTGTACTATGAATTGTGGCAATTGTCTACAATTGTCTACAATTGTCTTTACATCCCTTTTTACAATTTGATTCAATCAGATAAGATGCCACTTGATATGTATAGTAACTCAATGCAAACCTCAATCACTGTTAAAGATATGTTTGAGAGAATCTAATTAAGATTACATAACCAGAAGCACAAAATACCACACATTTGTTGCCATATTATCGATGATCGCGTGATTGCATCCACACATCACTAATACAATAACATTATCTCCTATTCTTCACAACCAAAGTGTTCTCTAATTGAAAATTTGTGTCTATTTTGCAATAGTTTGTGCGCTTATTAAATGCTTCAATGAGTTTATACATATTATTTGATTAGTATCTTATAATATGTATTATTTTCGCATAGTTTCAATTGATATAACAAGTATAAAAAATATATTACCGGTACTAATGATATCAATAAAATTATAATATTGAATATGCAAAACTCTCTTCTTAATGTATAATATAAATTTAATGATATTATAATTATTATATACTATACGTTTTATATACACATATTATGACTAAAAAAATAATACTAAACTTATAACTTTTGTCATTTTAATTTATATATTTAAAAATTAAACTTAACTAAACAAAAAAATATGTAACAATTTAAATATATTTATAAAACTCATTAGCGGTCATAATATAAATGTTTTATTATAGATAATACAAAAAGATTAGTTTACACAAAAATTATCTTCTAAATGGTTGAGTTGTATTATAAATATTTAATGGTTTAGATCAACGTTACATTTGTTATCAATAATAAACAAAATTGTTTGAAAAGTTTGCAAAACAAGACAATTTTGTGATAAGCATTGAAATTCAATTGAATATTAAATTACATAATCAAAAACATTGTACACTAACTGAATAAATACAGTAAACCTATAGATCGTGAGAGACAAACACATTATCGTATACTTTATGTCAGTTTAAACTGAGAAAAACAGTGAGATTTAAATAAATATATAAAACAATTTTTTCTGCAAATCAGCCAATCTTTGTCTCATTTTCTTAAACTTTAAATATATTTCTCAAATGTCTGTCATTTGTCACCAATTTATGATTAATGAGTTGTTGTTTTATTTTCTGCAAACTATCTCTCCTCTCCTTAAATATATATTTCTTTTTCATCATTTATACAAATAAAAACTTATCTTTTGAAATATTTAAAGTAAAAAAGTTATAGATATACTATATATAAAAATGTAAAACAAATTATAAAATTTTAATTAATAATAAAAAAAATGTGATGCTTTAAATGTTTTGAATTATATATATATTTAAAATGAAAATCCATTTTTATTTGCACATTATATTCATCGGAAAGTATTATAAATTAGTATATATATTCTAATAGATAAATAAATTATAAACTTGTTGTTTATAACAAACAAATTAACAAAAATATATGGTTTGGACATAAAAAATGAGTGCTTATTATAAGTGAACCAAAATATCTGCGGTATGTTTACAAGTAGCAGATGTGCCATACAATTGACTATTTGCTTAACAGCGCATCAATCTCTTTGCTGGCCATTCATTGATAGTCACCTCACACTCACTCACACACACACACACACACACACACACACACACACACACACACACACACACACACACACACACACACACACAATGTTAAGCACATATATTACATACATTTGTCTAATCCATACCAACGCCTCCACTGACACTCATTTCTTACTTTTTTGTGTGTAAAACATTCTGCACTTTATTTTGATTAGTTTTACTCACAATTCATGTCTAGTTAGACAACTATTTCCTAACAGTTTGGTTATATTGAAGTACTCATAAATCTTTTCAATGAGTAAATAGCCGTAAATAGTAAAACATTATTAGAAAGTTAGAGATTTACACACACACACACACACACACACACACACACACACACACACACACACAGAGAGAGAGAGAGAGAGAGAGAGAGAGAGAGAGATTCTTCTAATATAAAAAATATAAATAAATTCTGTGTAATAAATATAAATAAATTGTTATTTACAATTGCAATTATATACTATACTAATATTATAAATACTCAATAATAACTAATCTATAGTCTTAATTATTGATTATTGCGTACTTATAATTATATTAAAATTATTTTGAATTCATAAAAATAATAACACTTTCTGTAAAAATTGAATTATGAAAACAGATTATAACTTATTTATTTATATATTATATTAAAATGTAATTCGTTTTTTAAATAATTATCTATTTTTTGTATGAATTATTCTATAAAAAGTGTTATCCATAATAATAGTTATAAATTAATTGTACGACATATGAATAATTATATTAAATGTAGTAATGAATAGAGTAATCAAATAAAGCCATTTGTTGTAAAGTAATCACATATTTAATCTGTTTTCCCCTCAAAAAAGGCATCAATGCATGAAATATGGTCTTAATTTATACCAATTTTTAATGGTAGGGCTATAACGACTAAATTGAATGCTTTCACACGAAACAAATATATAATGTATTGTATGATATTTTTATTGAATGCAAATATTTTTTAAAATGTCTCAAATACATCATACTTTCGATATTATTATCATTTTTAAGAGTTCAATAAACAAAATATTTATATTTTTGAAAAAATGCTTTTAAATGAAACTTTTAAACAAATAAATCTTTAGATTTATTTTATTAATATAAAAAATATATAAGAATATTAATACTAATAAATATAAATATTAAATCAAAATAATATAGAAAATACAAAAATTATAACCTAAATTAATAGATAATATATGAATATAAAGTAGGGTTTGCTGTATATGAATGAAATGAAAGACTCTTCAATAGAGTAATAATTTAAGGATCGGTACATTGAATTTGATATCTAACCTCACTCTCCCTTTCCTAATATATGTTCCCAAATATTCTTATGAATAGCTATTCTTCACACTTTTGCTAACAAAAAAGTAGAGAATATTAGTGAATATG